AAATTTAATGTCTTCAAGAAAAGTACTTACTTATAAAAGTTGAGAAAAGTGGATTCATTACAAACAATGTAATGATGTATTTCTTTTTTAAACTTTCGTTATTATTTAAACAACTTTTAAGTATTTTTATAGTTTTTCGTCTGACAATTTCTTTTTTTGATAAATTTGATAATATCTCGGTTGTTTTACTATAGTTTTATTTTCATAAATGTACATTCATCTGTATTTATAAAAGCTATTTTTGTGACATTATTTTGTAATTATATCATATCTACAGGTCTATAGTAATATGTAATATAAAGAGGCAAGATTTGCTCGTTTGTTTGCATCGTATATACTCCAAAACCACTGGTCCGATTATACTCTACATATATCACTTACGCGTAGCTACAATATACGGGGTTGACATAAGGTATAATTAACGCGTGTGTAGTTGCGGAAAAAAGCTAGTTATATTATTAAGAGTAAAGATTTTATTATTGGTTTGCATTGATAGGCTCCGAAACTATTGGACCGATTTAAAAAATTCTTTAACATAAAAGAAGCTTCATGCACGATTGATGCATGAAGATTTTTATTTGAAGAATGAAGATTTAGATTTTTATTTATGAAGGCAAAGTCGCAGAAAAACACCTAGTTTTTATAAACTAAGTTCTACAAATTGCATTTGATTAACTTTCGTTTCATAGATACAAGTTTTTAAATATAGACTATCTGCCGTTATGACTACGATGGTTTTTTTTTTATAAAATTACTTTACATTTTCACCAATACTTTTATATTTCTCGAAGAAAATTTGATTCTTTTTTCACCAAGACTGTCTTACATTCATTTATATGCCTGAAGGTTTTATAAGAAAATGAGATTAGCTAAGGAGATTTGTGTTACGTAAAAGATCGGATCCTAATAAAAGTCATTTAGAAACTTATATGCTCAGATTACAGTAACCGAAACTCAATTCAGACGAAAGGACCATTTACACCGCAAGAAATTCGTACAAAGGCAATTACGTATTTCTATTAGTATATGTTTTGTATGAATGTGTATTTATCTTCAATAATAGCGGATCGATTTTTTGAATTATTAAAATTTTTTTTAATAACTGTTTGTAGTTTAGTTATCCTTAAATGGTTTTGAGTGGAGTTATTGTGTAATCCATCATCGTTACTCGCTTATTATAATAACGGCTTGAGCTTAGGTCTCCTTAATGGATAGTAGAAAGGGCTAGAGATGACTTACCACACGGCTTTTCTGGGGATTAGTGGTTGTAAATGACTGCAGATGTAGTCGGGACTAACATTTTTAGCTAAAATTAGAGTAGCTTGAAATAATAAGTCTTTAATTGCCCATCCAAATACGGACCTTTACAAAAGATGCTTAACTTTCTCAATCGCAGAACAGATATTTACTGAAATTTAATTAAAAATTCAGTGTTATATTTCGTGCAGCCTATATTTGTTAAGATGTATTAAAAACAAGAAGCTGAAAGAACTGGCTTTATAGCGTAAAATATGAACATATTTTTGTCGATCGATGTTTTACGTGTATGTAACAATAGTTTCGTAATACAAAGGCAATAATAATGGCTGAAAATTTTAAAATAGATAAAAAAATTTAACCCTCGCCTGAATACTCCCCAAACTACGACCAATATCTGTAAGAAACACAGAGAATGAAAATCCATGAGTGAATTTGGTGCCGGCTAAGCTCGTTATGCTAAAGAACTAGATTTGAATATATCACTTCTACAGTCTAGAACATTTTTATTTAGCTATTTTTTTCGTTACACTGGTGAGCAGACGGTTTTGATTGAGTTATTGAAGTGGGTATTTGAAAAATATGCAGCAACAGCTGTGTGGGGCTCGTTTAGTACATGACTTTTATAGAAGCCAGTAATTTAGTTAGCATTAAGATTTTTCTACAGTCAACAGTTTACAAATGGACAAGTTTTTTATCTATTTGATTTAAAGCTCTATAATGCGGTTAAAATTGAAATAGATTTGAAAAATGTTACTTTTAATGATTCAGGGGGTTATGATGCAGCATTGCATTAGTAAGCCCTGAATAATCTGTCAAGCTGACAGATCAATTATGAGCAGACCAGTCTGAGATTAAACAGATTGCTCTAAGATTAGATAGATTGGTTTTAGATTGGACAGATTAAACCTGTTTGGTATGCTGACAGTTAGTATAATTAGACATTACAACCACAGTTATAATAATGTTGTACATTGGAAACAAAAATGGCGGAACTTTTGAACAAATCGGAAGTGGTCAGCTTGAACATGGGCCTCGTTATTAACAAGAGTAAATCAAGATAATGGTGGTCGACCGGCTTGCAACTATCCTGCGTACCGACTTTAATGACTAGGAAAAGGTCGATCACTGTCAACATCTTGGATCAGTAGGCACAAAATAGGTAATGGTGGAGGATACGAAGACGGACTGATATGGCCAACTCTGCGATGACCGAACTCAGAAAAATATGGAAGGATAGAAACGTCTCCACCTGGACAAAAGTACATGTGTTTCAAACTCTTGTTTTTTATGTCTTCCTTTACGGGACAGAGACACAGAAACTTATAAAAGCCGACAGAAAAATAATAAATGCTTTGAAAACATGATGTTGGCGTCGCTTACTAAGAATGCCTGGATGGTTCATCCCACCAATGACTCTATTCTAAAAACCACTAGGAAGACTGTCTTCTGTTTGTTCGCAGAGGATATTGAAATACTTCGGTCATATTACTCGTAGGACAATCTAGAATTACTGATGGTAACAGAAAAGGTTGAGGAAAAGAGACCTAGAGGCAAAATCCAAACAGATGTTCGGACCAAATATCCAAAGAACTGGATAGACGGAACTGGAACAATAGACTTGTATTGGGAGCATAGAAAGATTACAAATAAACTTATAAACGAAAGTCGTACATCAAGAGCTATGTATGAAAACAAAATTTGCTACAAGGTGGAAGAAAGAAATTTTATGCTTATATCAGACAATAAACAACGTCAAAGGTTTGTATACCGGATACACTGCGCGACTGGCTAGGCCAAATTGTAACCCATTCAAAGGAGAGTTTTGCAGATCAGTTTTCTAGTGTATTTGAAACTGATCAACTCCCAACTATGGACCGGTGTCTTTGAGTCGAAGAACACAGCGGTAGCTGTGTTGTGTAGTAGACGAAGATACGGCTTACAGGAAAACTTTTAAGCTCGAGGAAAATCTGCATCGGTTTTTTCCAGCCTTAAATAGCGTAATGACAGTTGCACGTAATTGTTTCGTTCCCTCCATCACGAGAAAATATAAACAAATGAATTTGCGATACAAATAAAGATAACATTCCAAATTCAAAATCTGTAAAAAAATAAATAACAGCCAGCAACATTTTATTTTATTTTTTCAGTAAAAAGTTTACCTCGAAACAACAGACGAGGTACCAGTTAGTGTAGAACTACACCGAGAAATCTATCTCAATAGATGGTTGCGTGTGATTGAGATCATAAATTGAAAAAAGAGTCACGATTCTCAGCATTGAGGGAACGATTTTAGAGAGAGAGAGAGAGGCGTTAATTTACAGAAGCTCATTACCGAGCAGACGTCTCCCAACTCTATACTGAATTATTTAAACTTTTTTTGCAACTACACCACTTATTAGTAAACGTAAGCAGAATCTGCGTTTACTATAAATGTATTATCAAATCTATTTTTATATGTATTATCAAGCATATTTTTTGAATTTTGACGGGTGCTTGTTATTAGTCTAGACTGAACTAGGAAAGTTAACAACAGATTAAAACGAAAATTATTTCACAATTCATTTTATAAAAGTTACACACGATAAGTGCTCTTATAATAGATACATGTATGCACTGCTGTTGTTAGTACCATACGTATTTGTACTTACCAAAACATGACGCCAAATTATTTTCATTACTTAAAAGCCATTAAGAAACCGCTACATAAGAAATACCAATTTAGAATTCTAATAACAACATCAACATAAAAGTTACTTCGCTTAATTAACGTATATGATATATATCGTATTAAGTCTAAAATGGCACCCCGACTTATAGAAAGTTGTTATTATTGATTTTCTTATATTTGCGTGTTAAAATTATTAAACTATTATAAAAAGATAAAGATAACACAATATTTTCCCTTTTGACTCCAGGCAAAGATATCATTGATCGTATTTTATATCTGTTGATCATACATTCAGCCCTAATTCAATACTTTTTCTGATACCTTTTGGTATTTGAAATTATTAAAATCTTTTTTTTATTACAACAATAGGGATGATGACTGGGTAAAAAAATGCAATTCTATTTAGTCCGTCAGTCAGATAATAGAAAAATATTAGATACGTATTTTTTTTTACTTCAATTTAACAAGAAATAGCTTAACTATATTACTTAGATAACAGGCATTTAAGTTGAGTAGTGGGGGCTCGTTACGTCACAGTTGAGTAGAAATCGTACTCTAACGTGACGTCATGCGAAATTTCAACTCAATGTAACGCCGTAATTTTATGATTAGGAAAAAAATAAAATAGTACGTGTTTAATATTTTTTAACACTATCTACGGATAAACAAACAAAAATTAGTTATCATCCTTATTTTATTGAAATTACTGATTTAAGTTTATTTACCTCAAATTTGAGAAATGGCCATTTCAAAGGGCTTATCCTGCTATTTACTTTAGCAGAGAACATTATTACTTTTCGTCTATGTTTTCTATTCTATCGGTGCTTAGCGCTGTAACTACCTAACGATTACATTGTTTTGAATACCTTATTTCGTTCCAATTTCATTATGAATATCTATAATTATAGCTTAGTAAGTATTACATTCTTTAAATCTGAATTTTGGAGTAGAGAAACTCGATAGCGTAGTGTTAGCACTTATTAAAAGGGCAAAAAGGCATTTTTGAAAATTTCATTTTTAAAACTGTTCAAGATATATTTTATTAAATTTATATGTACTGATAGGAGGCCACATGGAAAGAATAAGAAGGTATTTAGGAATCTCACATTGACAGAGTGGTTTCTTAGAAGATAAATGCCAATAACAATCGTCTGTGCGCTTTGTCTTCTTTGGATAAGGATAGATGGGGAGAAGACGCAAATTGATCGTAGTAATTAACTGTCTCGACACTATAATAAATGTTTTACTTAGACTACTAAAACATAAAAGGAATGTTGGAACATTGTTGATATTTGAGGTATAACATCTAAATATGAAGGATCATAAATTATATACGACCACAATTGCGTCTTGAGACGTTTTAATGGTTGAAATGAGTCTAAATAATCATGTACCATTTGTTTTATTGCAGCAAACACTGTCTGAGTTCTATGATAACAAGTTGACAGTCTAAGATATAATAAGTTACAGTTAGTTTAAAAGGGCTAATATAAGTAGAAGAAGTGGCATCTTCATTTAATTCTAATTTACATCAAACTTGCATTTGTCGCAACTGAATAACTCAAATCACTGTATAGCAATAATGTACTATTTATGGCTCATGGACACTATTTATGTTCGGCTATTTATGTTAGAGTACTATGTGATACTAGTGAGAAATACTAGCCTCATTGGTATTAGAAGATGCTAAGCTTTGTGGCTTAAATATAATAATAGTATCATTTGTTCATCTCAGATATCTCTATATACCTAACTAATATTAAAAAAAAAAAAAATAGGAAATGAGACAAAATGGTTGATGAAACAGTGACGGTGAGTGCACCCACAGGCTCTGTAATATCCACTACACAACTGTAAATTGATACAATGACTTCCTGCGTTTTTTTAAATTAAAGAAAGCTAAATTTATGTTACAATTGGACAGGAAAAACACCAAGGAAAATACTAGACATCGAGATAATTAACTAAGCAAACGCCAATTACACATTCACTCCACCCAGACCTATCGAAAGAGACTGCAGTCTAAGAAACCATTCTTTACAATATTTTAAGATCACGATTATCTTCAATTTTAGGAGTATTTTAGCAGAGGCAAACGTGAAGCAATGCTTTGCGCCGGTTACTGTACCATAGTTGTACATGTAACATTGGAAAACGAACGGTTGGTTTTTTTGCTGATATTATTTTAACTTAAATAAGTGGATATTTAGTGTGAAACAGTCTAAACATAAAACATGAATATTTGAGAATACAAGCGTTAGATATACTGAGTACACGGCTATGGAATAAATGCGGTGAAATTTCAGTTCTTTTACGTATTGCATACCAGAATCTCAAACATGCATTTTGAACTCGTTGTGCAATTTTCATTTTTTTATATAATCATATTAATGTTTCCTACGCATTCGATGTATTCGTCAAAAATAACACAGCATGAAAACTTCAGGTCAATGAACACTTAGCTTTAGCCAAGGTTTCCTTTATAAAAAGGATATATTTTGGAAAGTTGTGGTTACTTGAGGAGAGCTCTGTTTGTGGTGTAATTAAACGTGTTATATGCCTTTTCATTTTGAGTCTATAATCCAATAATATTATCACTATTATCGAATGCTACTTGTGTTGCGTCGTTACACTATTTATAAACAGAATTAAATCTAAAATTAAATTAGGAATGGTTGATGAATCAAACAGAGTCTTAAAGGAGATTGTCATCAATCCAACCTGTACTAGTTTAAGTACAATGTTTATACATGATAGGGTTTATAATGATCTGAAAAGTATCTTTTATTCGTTCGATCATTGTGCCATCCGTAATCCCAAGGGTACTTGGGCGTGTCGTGTATATGCAATGGAAAAAGTTTTATAAATATAACAGAAGCTTGGGAACAGCAATTTCATTTACTCGCACCACACACGAGTAATAAATTATATCTATAAATTTGAGTACCCATCAGAGCAGTTTAATAAGTGTTTTCATTAAAATTTTGTAATATAAGTTGATTTATTAAGAGAGTCAAAATTCATCACCCGTCAGACGTCTACTTAATTTTCACTTGAAAGCTTTGAGAAATTCCAACATGTTATTAAATTCACTCTTTTAATATGATTGTTAAATAAAATCATGCGTTTTCTTACGAAAGTCTATTACTATAAGAGGATAATGGTTAGTTTTTGTTAGTTTCACACTAATTTTTTATTATTGTAGAATATTAACTACGTACGTTGTGCAGCATATTGGAATTTCTACCAAATGGTGATGGTATCCCGCCGTGTAAACGGTCAAGGCGGAAAGAGACATGCATCTCCTGCGCATACTCTCTGTAATACATGCTATAAAAGAAGGATAGCAGGCAACATTACGCCGATGGCCCAGGCTGTGCAGCTTGGACTCCACTAGCTTTTCGTCGCTAATGAGTCTCTTGGCTCTGCACTCCACTGAGTTTGTTGGTGCAATCTGATACTTAGCTGAGCCATCCCACAAGTGGTTGCAGTACCCCATATACTGCAGGATTCGCGCTTTCTATAAAGTCAAAAGTTGTCTCGGTTTGAAATACTGCTTTGTCCTGTGTAAGATGCTGGTTTTTTGTCCTGTGTAAGATGCTGGCTTTTTGGCCGCTGTTTATGCTTTAAGTTCGATGTATTCGCCGAAGTTAAGATGAGATAAGATGCTAGATGTACCTCAGAAAGTAGGAGGTCAAGGTGAGGGTGATTCTTTTTTGCACTGAAAAAACACGCCTCCCTGTTGGTGGTGTTGAAGCTGACCAAATTGTTGTCACCCCATTATGAAATAAGACTTAAGGTAGCATGCACACGCTCCATCATGATCTTTCTTAATAAATGCACATTTTTTCGCTGGCTTTTGCGTCGTTTACTACGTTCACTAAGGAAGTCAAGTATCTAGCAACAAAAACCATTAGCAATGTGTGACATACACTAGAAGATCTCCGGTGGATTGGCCACGGCAGAAGCCGTATTGGTGGTCACTTAGGAGATCATTCTGCTCAAGGTAAATGAGTAATTTGCTATTGAGTTTCCTTTCTATTACTTTGCAAAGAATGGAGGTGATAGTGATGGATCGATAATTATAGGGATAGGCTAGGCTACCCTTTTTCGATACTTTTGCACATTCACAAGCTTCCAGGACTTTGGGACCCTGTTAATAATAATAGGCTTGTTAATATAGGAGACCACCCAGGAGCACAGTTCTATAGCACTCTTGCAGATATTCCATCAGGTGTACTAGCCTTAATTACGTCTAAACGATGAATCTTGATATACCTCTTTATTGTGGATTATGATCCGTGGCATAGAAGTGTTATATACTTTGTATTGAGGGTAAACAAACAATGACAACAAGAAGTGAGTCTGTCACCGACGATTAAAGGTTGTGTGTGTACTCCGTATTTTATTTACTTATATGTCCTTAAAAACCTCAAAATAGGACATAATTGGCGACGATTCACGACAATTCACGTGTGTATAAAAACCAAAGAAAAAGAAAACAAAAGGAAAAGTTATTTGTACAATGGCAAATTACGGTAGTACAATGTTCGGTGGCAGCCTCTCTTTCGATCACCGAGTTCAAGAATGGAGCATTTTTTAAAGCAGATTCACTCAATTTTGTGCGGCGAACGACATCACTGACGACACCGACAAGGCAGGAGTGAAAAGAAGAGCTTTACTTCTTACTACTTTGGTGGAAGATACTTACCGCGTCGTTAATGATTTAGCATTTCCGTCTACATTGGACAGCGTGGAATTCAGTATCTTAATACAAAAATTGGACAGCCATTTCTTATCTAAAAAAAGTAGTTTCGCAGAAAGATACAAATTTTATAAAGCAGAACAAAGACCAGGCGAAGACTTATCTGAATGGGCGGCGCGAGTGAGAAACTTAGCCCAGTTTTGTGGTTTTAAAACTGAACTCGAATTTGCATTAAGAGATCGGTTTATTCTTGGGTTAGAAAATACTAAAGAAAAAGAGAAATTGTTCGCCGAAAGCATCGAAACTTTGACTTTCCACAAAGCATTAGAGTTAGCGCAAAGCATACGTTGTGCGCGTATGGCTTTGCAAGTTGCAAACAAAAGTGGAGCCAGCGCCGATGGAGGATATTCGCCAACAGCGCAGCCAATGTTCGCTATACATCGTGCAACCGTGCGCGACCCCACCGATTGCTTCACGAAATCGTCTCATAATAAACATAACAAGTGCTGTGCGGTGTGTGGTTACCGTAATCATACAAAAGATCAGTGTCGTTTTATCAATTATAAATGTCAAAAGTGTAATCAATAAGGACATATAAGTAAATAAAATACGGAGTACACACACAACCTTTAATCGTCGGTGACAGACTCACTTCTTGTTGTCATTGTTTGTTTACCCTCAATACAAAGTATATAACATCTAGTGGGATGCGAACCCACGCGTGCTTTGCACGCGTGGGTTCGCATCCCATCCTCGTCGCCAATTATGTCCTATTTTGAGGTTTTTAAGGACATATAAGTAAATAAAATACGGAGTACACACACAACCTTTAATCGTCGGTGACAGACTCACTTCTTGTTGTCATTGTTTGTTTACCCTCAATACAAAGTATATAACAAGAAGAGTCACATCGAGGTAGAGTTAAGGGAATTTTAAAGCCAGCCTCTGAGCGCCAATTCTCCGCAAATAGAGAAGCAAACAAATTTGCTTTCTCAGTAGCGGTGTGAGCCAGTGAACCGTTAGGTTTTTGCATCGGAGGCAGCTTTGGAACGACAGAAATTAGTTTCGACCGATTTTGATAAAAATCAGAACTGTTTGCTCCCAGAAGGGTAAGCTGCCAATCTGGGCCCTATACGACTAATATGGTCGAAACGTAAACGAAATATGGAGCAGAATCACGTCTATTTTCTAAACCCTAGATATTCATAACTTGCGACCAGGATGTTTTAAACGCGAAATGTATAGAGCACTGTCTGACACATAAAGCTATGTAATGAAATTGCCAAATTATTCAATGATTTCATGCTCAATCTCTTCTTGGATAGATCATTGTCAGGTATCACCGTTTGTTACATTTCATATATATTAATTGTGGTGGATGTCATTGGTGGCAAAATTATCAATTTGTTTTGTTATGTCTGCGTGTAATATATATTGTATTTTGTCACTGTTTGTCTTACCCAAATAAATAGAAAAAAAAAAAAACCCTAATATGGCTGGGGGTAGGACCTGGCATTGAACTGATACACGGATAATATTTACAGACCTAATTTTGAATAAAATTATGAGCAAGATACGAAATTTGCCGAATTTTCGTTCGTGGACAGACTAGGCCCTCAGGTCTTGCAACTTCCACATTCGACTACTGGTCGGATGTGTTAATGATCGTAGCTATTCGATTGCTAATTTATAAATGCTTTCATGATTTCAATTTCTCACCATCTCGATTGGGTCAATATAGAAAGTGAACTTTTTATATTATCTCGGGTCTGGGTGTTTTGGTACCATTTTTGTCTCATATACTCGGGGGCTTTAGCTACTTACTCATCTTGGAATCTGAGCAATGTATGTGATGTTCTCTAATATTTATTTATTTATTTATTAGTCGTGATACCGTTTATGGGTACTCTCCGCATGCGACATACTGAAAAATTTATAGACCAATGAAAATGAGCCTTTTGACATCTTATAATTAACCGAAGAATTATAATGTAATTAATGTTACAGCTGATTAAGTCGTATATAGCGATAAACGCTCGTTAAAAAGCTTTACACCCGGTTATTATAATCTTATTTGAAACTGAAATCGTAAACCAAATTATATTAATATACTGACTATGAGAACGATGAACTTTGTTGATTATGGACATATTTATATTTATTTGTGGTATATTTTTGTAAGGATATGATAATTTTGAAGATGAAGAAGAAAAAGATTACAATATTTTTAATATTTACTTTTATTTTTTATAAATAATAAATAGGTGATATTTAAAGTTTCAAAATACATATTTTTTACTTATAAATTTATGTTAATATATATTTATAAACATATTTTCTATTAACAATAGGTATTGTAGAAAAGTAATAAATTAAATAGTGTAATTATGGGTAATTTATCAATTATCATACTATAATAAATGTTTTTAAACATAACTGCACATTCCAACTGCTTGTTTAAATGCTCAGTTGCTCATCAAATTATCACTGCTTGTCAAACTGTTATTTTTTTTAGCTTTGATTTTAGCTTGTGTTTTTATAAACTGTGTCTCAAAAGTTGGGACATTTTAAAGCTGATTTAAATAAATATATATCTACACTGTTCCATGTTAATCCCCTATTATATGGTACATCAGTAATTTTTATGAGCTATGCTTTCAACCCAATAACTCGTTTATCTATATCAGTTAATGGTAAGCGATTCAGTAGTATAATCGTTTTTAATCTATTATCGCATAATCTCCGGGGATTGTGCCAGAAAATCGCACACTTCGCCTCTGATCCGGGCTTTATAGGGGTTTTAAGTACAATTTTATTCCTGCAATGAAACAAAGGATAGCCAAGTATGTGCAGGCATGAACAAATTGCTTACGAGCCTTAAAATTGCTTTTATGATTTTATAATCTTGAATTTTATTGTTATAACCTGCTTTGTAAAATAATGTTTCACAACTGAAAATAATTTTAGACAAACCTTTATTAATTATTTATAAAATTTTACGAGTTCTGTTAAATTTCCAAGTAATCAACTTATTGGATTTATATTATTACATTTTCTTTATCTCGAAATGTTCACCCAGTTACACAAATAATCTATAAGGTTTAAAGTCGACTTAAAGCTCCAATAGTTATACTAAATTTGAACATTGTATTGGCAATGTTGCATTAAACTAATGGCATTTTTAAAGGACGTTTGTGCAGCTAGCCCTTACAGTCATAAAATTTCTAATCCATAAACAGATAGTTCTAAGTCTAAGAAAAACGTAGCTTTCCTTTGTTGTCCAGTATCAATAGGACACTGAATTTACATAGCAGAAGTCACCCACTATAGCCAATATAAAATTAATTTTCTATTGTAACATTTTATGCATATCTTCTTATCAATTGAGACAAAGAGTCCATTCGTAATAAAAAAGAACAGTGCTGGAAATAATTTAGATTCCTGATAATATAGATTTCTGATAATTTACTACTAATAGTTATAACGGACTAATAACTGTATTAAAACGGTAAATATAACGTTTAATATAACACTGTGCATTTGACCTGATTTAGAAATATATTAGTATAATAAAATAAAGTGCAGAGAGTGTAATAGCAGCTTATCGCTGATTTTAACGGCTCGTAACGATGTTTCGATTTAAAAATGAATGTCTACATCGACATAAATGTGACAATATGGCACCATTAATGAGAGAAACGGTAAATAAAAGTCAGCAATATATGTGATTGATATTTTCGATAAATGACATTATTATGTCAAATATGATCATTTCTTTTTGTTAGCATCTTTAAAAGCAGTGGTTCCCAAAGTTAAATGGGCTCCAGCTAATCTAAAAAGTAATTTCAGTCTTGGGATCCACCTCTTAGCTGACTAACAGAAAAGAGGGAATAATATGTCTTATACAGAGGCTAATCGCCCATTAGGGCTACTCAAGTCACTCATAGTATGGAAAATACTGCTATAAATTCATCTATACAAATTTTTATATTAAGCATTTTAGAAAAAAAAGTCGAATTAATATAGTGTCTTAGGAAAAGGTATTCTTTTTGTTGGATCTTGTCCCCAAAAACATGCAAAAAACCCACATTCGATTACTTTTGATATATAAATAATTTATTCTTCTAATTGTAGATTTACAAAAAGTTATTCGAGTACTCAAATCCTTTAATAATATTCTAGATCAGTGTTCCCAAATTGAGGGGCAATCACCTCACCCCGAGGGGATAATTATCAGCTATTTTATGGGAGTAGCAGGTAGCAAGTAACTAGTATTAATTATACAATAAACTTATAATAAATATAAAGATATGAAAGTGACACCATGTAGAACATCATTTAAGACGTGTTTTAAACGAAAACAAATCAGGAGCTCGTTTAGAGACGTCTTTCAGGAAGGGCGTGGTTTCATATTGGACTTCCCTGTATAAAAGAGAAAATAGCAGCACTTGCCGAGTTTATTTTTAGTACACCGTAGATTTGCGAACCGATCACTATAGCTATAGACTTTCATAAGTCATACTTCATAGCTTTGGACTTTCATAACAGCTAATACTGAAAAAATGATATAACAAAAGAATCTCACCTCTTGTTACACAATGAAAGGGTTGAATGGTGGGTAAATTTGTTTTTCAAATAGGTCAGAGGGGTAACAATCATGCAAAGGTTGGGAATCACTGTTCTAGATATACTAATTTAATTACGTATATATTTACATTGTATCTCCTTAATGGTATATGATTTTAATTAAATAATAAAATACAAATGTTACTTTTTTATTGTCATATTTCATATTCATTGCAAAAGTTTTCAACAGGAACAATATACCAGAGTTTTGCGCAGTTAAAACCCTATCTGATATAAATGAATGTCATTTCGACGGCTTGTCCATGGACAAAACTTGCGCCCCTGGGGGTAAACGAATCTGTGAACATACTTTAATGTAATGAACAAAATTTTGTATAGATATTTAAATTTTCTACAGTTCCAATAGTTCACAATTTATATGATCTAGTGACTCTATACTAGTGACATAAGGTTTTTATAATAAGGACGTTAGCTTCGTGACTACTAAACTATATTACTACTAAAAATAACTACTAACAAACGAATAACTACTTCTAAATTATATTTATAATGTACTCATAGCTTAACTTCGTTAATTTTGACAGGTCTGGTGATTAAAATGCTTGTTTGTCTGAAAATTAGTTTGGCAATTCAAAGAGTCGCAGTCTCCTGGGCACTCCTCTTTTTATCTAGTATAGTTTTAGTCATAACATAGATAAGTAGTTTAATACTTTGTAAATATTTTTAAAGTTAAGAATAAAGTAATCAATATTAGGAAAAAAATCTATTTTTTTTACTCTTTGTCATGTGACTGCAAACAGAAGAATGCGTTTTCGCAGAAAGTTTTGAAAATTTATTCATATATAATAATAATAAAATAAAAATATAAAAGTCGTTTACACCCCTCGCGTCGGTGACCCACTAAAATTAGGTCATTCACTCACGATGCAAACGTCCTTATCACGTATTTCTCCAATGTGCGTTATGACTACGAGGAGGAACGGAGGCATTCCTGCGGCATC